TAGGTCATCGTGGTTGTATGCCAACGTAGCATCCGTTCAAATGGCTGATGTACTGCTGTTGCTGATGATGATACTGGGGGCAGATCTGATTCAAAGCAGCACCAGAGTGATGCTTTTGGTGACGATACGTCTTTAGGAACCATCGAGTTTTAGTGCTTTGCGGAATTCATCCGTAACAAGCTTTACCTGGATGATGAGACACGGTGTAGTCGACTTGTGGACGCCACCACCGCAGACAGCATTGCTGTCGTGCAAACGATGACGGAGGAGAACGCGCGGTTAACTGTGGTACAGCTGAAAAATCCATCGGGATCAATTCGAATCCTTCTTGCATTAGAACGTCGTCCTCAGAAAGGGTTGCGCACGGTAAGTAGTTAATCAGCAGATGTGGACCTGAAATGAACTAGAATGCAATAGTGCTGTTTGCTAACTTTGACGGTGCATGTTCCAATGCTTTTTGGGCGATCCAAAATTATGTGTCGTGTATGTACGGTTTTGATTACGAGACCAACTTACAAATTGCTAAGCTGCCGGCCGTCAGCCTGGCGCCGCATCATAAATTCCGGCGAGAGCATATGTGGCCAGAAACATGTTGATTGGTACGTGGGCCTGGCCAATAATGTGTCAAATTTACTGCTCGTACGGCAACGCACATTCATCGAAAACTGGTCGGACGCCCACTGTCTGTCACAAGTGCTGGAAGCCTTTGCCAGGCGTCGTAGTGAGACTCTAGAACGAGGGATTTTGCTGCACCATGACACCATACGTGCAAACAGCTCCCTTGTATTCTAGATGTTCTAGCTGGCGAACACATCCAAGAGAATTGTCACCCCCTACACAGTTCATACCTTGCTCCGTGTGACCGTTTGTGTTCCTAATGTGAAGCGCATAGTACAAGGAATCCTCTACGATTCCCTAGGGGCTGCATTAAAAGCCTTTATTTCCCTGCATGTTTAGTAACCCGCTTTAGCATGGTCCAGCTGCTTCTCCAAATGGTTTAAGTGCAAACAACTATGCATGAACAGGAATAAATAGTAAATGAGGAAATCTAACGCATGTTATCAGAAAATAAAATCTATTTGCAACTAAAAGCTAATCGTTCTTTTTATTTCCATTACAACTCTTCCTATACCATTTATTTTATTGGTTGGATATATGCTCACGATGTTGTTTTCAAATGCATCAAGCTCACCTTCGTGTTTTGGTCATAGTTTCGACTCCCGATTGCGAACACACATCTATATCGGGAAGTAACACACCCATTTTTCATATCAGACATATTACAAGTAGCTTCGAATGCCACTACTCCCTCGGCACTGAGTGAACATCTCATACCCAGATTGTCAAGTATAAAATATCTAGAGGTCATTCATCTTAAACATTTCTTTGGCTATTCACGTTGCCGAAACTTTATTGCAATTTTTGACAGTAGTCATTTTGCATTCTGCGAATTTCAATACTTCTGAATTGATGCTAAGACTTGTGACTACAAGCACTCTGGTGCATTTTGGCATCCGTTCCTCTGCAATCTTTCCTGGGGCACCCATATAACTGCATATTGCTTATAAGACCCATTAAGCTTGTTTCCAGATGCAGTGCGTTGTCTAGAAACTTATTGTTAACGCGCATGTAGATGCATGTGCCAGTTTTACTTTAAACCACTGAACGATCCACTGTATGCTCTAAATTTAGGTCTAGCAATGATCCTATATGTTTCCTCTACCTGTTCAAATAAATATGATTCCATTTTTCCTACCGCATTTGCCGCAGTTCCGTTCTACCGTACCAGTTCCGCTAGTTTTTGACCCAACCATAACAATTTTTACGATGCAAAATTTCTCTACTTGAGTGATATGTGTAAACTTTTGATAGACGTATTTCAATGTTAATTTCATCGACCTTACCACATACAATGATAGAGTTACTTATGGAAATTGCCCCTAGATGGGTTCAAAACGCTTACTTTTCTCTGACTTAATTGAACTTGTCAATGATACGTAAACATTATTTCTGAAGTCGACACAATAAATTCAATGTATACTTGATATGACGTGCGCAGGAAATGTGGGCAGTAGACACTTGAAAATACGAAAGAAGATCCGTGAGTTGGGCCCAACAACCTAACCCAAAGAACCTTCTGGATTTAACGCAGTCTTCCTTCACTTCCCACGCAGAAATCACCAGCAACAAGTCCAACCATTGCGAGAGGCCCAGTAGCACCTGGCATAAATTGTTTACCTTTGGTGTGTCCCACAGGCACTGATCTCCCAGCAAGTGAAGGTCTGAGTGAGCAAGACCAGTAGAAAGAACAAGAAAGAAATTACGAAGATATTTCGGGCGTTCATGTTCTGTAAGTCAACAGATAAACAAACCACGTGAGGTGGTTAATGTACTTCTCTATGCAAGGAAAACCTCCTCCGCCAGAGGAGTTATAACCTCGTGATGTTCCAGGCGCCTGTGCCTAGTGATTCATCAACACAAGTGCGCTGCGATTACGATGTCGAGATTTTACAGAGCCTGACTGAAAGTCTCATCGACGCTGGTGTGTACTCCGTAAAAGTGAGATAAATTACCCCTCTTGGAAGGCAAGATGATCAATAAAACAGGCCTACGAGAATCACTTCTGTGGACGAAGCAAGTCCAAGAATGATCATGTCCCTTCTAAATAACCCGAGAGGTTTGCAGATCAATATTCGACCAGACCTAGACCTAGTAGACAGGGAGCGGCTCAAATCTGTCATCATTGAGCTGAAAAGACGTACTGATGAGGGGGTAACAAATCCTCGTATCATAAATATTTGGGTGCTTTCCAACCATATGTGAATCGGAATAAACAGGCTGCGCACACTTCAAGCATGCCCGGTGGATCCTGCTGCGGCCTGCAAGTAGCCTTTACAAACATTTGTAGTCTTGTGAAGAAGCGCGACGAGTTATGATGTTTCTTTGCGTCTGAGCAGCCAGACGGAGTGGGACTCGCAGAGACTTGGCTGCATTCAGATTAATACACCCAAATAGCTGGGCACAACGGATACTCGTGCTTCCAATGCAATAGACTAAATAATGCCTGCTCTAGTTTCTTGTTTAACATGCGGTCTTCCTTGCGTGGGAGACTTGTGAGACCTACAGAAGTGACAATGTTTTGTGTGAGCCACTGTGGTGCTCCATCCGCCTCAGACGCAGAGAACTACTTGCGGGCACAATTTATCACAGCCCCCTGAGTGGTTTTTAGGATTGGCTGCCCATCTCCGAATCCACATGGGTCGTCCACACCTCCCACTTTTGGAGATTTTAACTGTGCTCCAATACAATGGTCTGACGTGCTTTTGACGCCTTGAAGTTTTGAGGTTGTAGCCAAGTTCGTGGATTTGCTGTTAGCTGCTGGTTCATCGCAACACATATACCAGCTAACACGTATAAAAACACGCTCAACCCCGTCTTGTCTCGAACAGACGTTAACTAGCTAGGAACAACTAGTGCGTGACGTTCGGATCCTGAACCCCCTGACTACAAGCCACCACTCAATGCTCATTGCCCATATGGAATTGCGTTTGCTGTATTCACGGCTGCTAGAACCAGATTACAACTACTGTAAAACGGACTTCGATGGACTAGCTCGAGCCGCGAGCTAAATTGTTTGGTCATTGTCACAAGCTGCATCTGTGGTAAACTGTTAGATCATTATAAAATAGAGAATGACATTGTGTTCCCAACTTTTCCCATTGAAATGTCGGAAGGTTTGACCTATTCAGCCTCATTAGTTTGACAAGCAGCATAGAAATCTGGCTCGGAGGCGGCACAGGCTGTGGCACAAATTTGTTCTCTCTGGCTCTGCCCATTATTTTGAAGAGTATAGAAGTCAACGGAACGTCTGCAACCGAACAAGAAGGAATAAACGCCGACATTTCGAAAAGCAACTCGAAATCGCCGCAAAGACCGCCTCAAAGAGAAGATTTGCTTTCGTGAAGCGACGCCTTAAGCCGAGAAGTGATGTACCAGTGCTGGATTGCCCGGATGGACAACTCCTAACCTCCAGCACTGAGCGTGCATTCGCGTTGGCAGCTCACATCGCTTCTGTATTTTCGTATGACCAGGTGTCTGTGTCAACTATGATGTGTACGGTTCTTACCGAACTCAATAGTCTGGATTTCGGCTTCGAAGACGTATGTCAGCTACTCGCCAACATTGACGGCATCAAACCTGCCGGACCTGATGGGCTTCACCTATTGATTTTTAAGTCAATTTCGACCATCATCTCTTCTGTCGTGACTGATCTTTTCAACAATCGCTGTCCGAAGGTACCTTGCCAATTGACTGGAAATGTTCGGTTGCGAAGGCTATTCCGAAATGCTGCGACCCTAGCAATGTAGACAACAATTTGTGTAGTGCAGCATTGGATTTTTCGGGCAGAATTTTTTAGAGTTAAACAAGAACACATCTGCACCTGCACACGTGTAATAGGTTCAGAAGATTTGGCACTAATTGCTGTTTCATATAACGTACCTACAAATATTGTGACGGCGTGCACGGATCTGAAGGTTGTACACGAATTGGCTTCACCCCACTTTTCGACATGCAGTATCCAAAAGATTTGATATGTGTCATATTTACCAGGTCGGCAGATAATTATTGCCAGCATAATTAAGGGCCTCAGAGTAAAAGCACTTTTTATTACTGAAGATTCTACTCTGTTATGCTCAGACGCGCAAGCAAATTCGTTTCCTTATAGCTGCTAAAATTAAAATAATGCTATATCTTTAATATAAATGAAATGCTTGTACCTGAGATAGATGAGAAGCATAATTTACGCTTTCCTGAATATTTACTTGTCGAAACAACGTTGGGATAAACAATGGCTAAGTCGAATATATTCGAACTTTGTGCCATTAATTTGTAATACAGCAGACTTTACATACGTCCACAAATTGAGAAATCATTAGCAGAATCTATTAGCAGGATGTGCATATTATACATTATCTAGATTAAGTAATATCTCCACTCACTGTTCTGAGCATAGAATAAAACAGCATGACATATTTCAAATTGCTTCTCTCGTCGTATGCGTCATCCCATACAATTCTCTTGCCATTTTCATACGCAAAGCCGGTCACCATCACAGCTGTGTTAAAGGTTAAGAACCAGAATATATTTCCATGAGTCAAAGAAAAATTCAACTAGGACAATTGAAGGTGTAATGATAGTTGACGGAGTGAAATAAATGTGATAACACATAAGATTGTAGCGTAATATCCTTTTCGTGTCGTTACAAGTTTTAGTGCTTGAGATCAGAATAGAAAATTATAACCCATAAAGAAGATTTTAGAAAATTTCTCTAAATATCTGCATTGTTTCTATGTAGAATTGATTGATCCTTATCTAATAATTCATTTTGAGAAATAAACAGGACTAATAGCAAGGGCTACATATATATGCTGTTAATTTCTAATAATTAATCTGTAGTTAGTTCGCTTTCAGTTTTGCATTAATCGCAATTCAAAATTCGATATATTTTAAAATATGGTGCAGTCTATCAGAGAGTGATATGTTGTAAACTTGGAACTTTGTCTTCCACTTCTAAAATCCTTATGTGCCATATGACTGATTTGCTATAGACATGGTGACTAATACAATAATGCTTACGAAAAGTATCTGCTTTACATTTGGTTTGAATTAACACATATACATTAACAGCAAGCTCTCCGATGGCGAGGGAAATTTCAGTATTTTAATGAGATATTAAACGCCTACTAAGAAGTGAGATTAATTATACATGAATAGATTATTCCCACGACATCTCACTGATTAATATAAATAACTTTTGTAGCGGTAAAGGGTTTTAGAATGTCGTGAACCTACGTAGCCAAAATGACTGCGTAAGGAGTCTGTATGTGTAGACATGTTAATTAATAACGTCACTGCGTTCCTTGATTCGTTATTTGCTTAGGAAGAGCTTTAAGTAATAATAGAGAAATCCGCATTTAAATTAAATTCATCGTAAGACAATTATCTGTGTCAAGCAATACATACTGATCGACCTTACAGCACGTGGACCGGTATGGGAGAAAAAGTTTTCTTGGCTTACATCTGGCATCGCTATGGCGTCTGTTATGCATAAAAACACTAATCCAAAAGCAATTTTACCCTTGAAATATACTTTTTAGACCAAGCTGTCACCAAGGTAAGACAAATATTTTGTGCCGCAGAGTAATATATATAGTCCCACAGAATACACCAAACGTCAGCTTGGCAAGTTTCTCCTGGCGCGATACGCACGCTCGGTTACAAAACGCCGTCTGTCAAAGTACCGTGTGAGCTACTTCACAGGGCTACATTCGACAGGGACGGCAGACATATGGTTATAATTGAAATTTTACAATCAGACCAGAGCGACGTGACATGTTTGAGCTTGTCATCAACTTCAGAAAAAAGAGAACAACTGCTGATGGATCAGTCTACGATTTAATAATAGTTATTCGGTGGGCTAGATGCATAACGTGCCTCAGGCTAAAGGTAAATTTGGCTTCTTTATCAAACTTGTCAGCGAGGGTATACTCTGTTCCAACATATTATAAATTTCCCATGTAAAGTGCGTCACATCAAAAGACAACTTGGGAAAATAACTAAATATGGTTTGAAGGCCTGGACTTTTAAACTTGGTATAAGTCTGCGAAGCAGGAAAAAGTATGCAGGGACGACGTCCGGAGAAAACGATGGACGGGACAAGAAAGAAGTGCGTTGTATGCTAGATAGCTGCCGACAAAGAGCGATGTTTTGGCCGGCGCATTTTCATGGTGCAACAAGCAAGTCTGGTTTTCCCACAGTCCAGATATCTTCCCCCGCACAGCTTGCCAAAACCCGCTAGAATTGTTGGTATGATCTTGCGCTGATGCTCACTTTGTCAGTAAATTCTCAATCAGCACGATCTCCCCCAACATGGTCATGGTCTCTTGTTGTGGAAGGTCGTCCATTATTCGGCCCGTCAACGACCCAGTTCCTGCCACGTTCAAAATATTTGCACCATTTATTGCACTGGCGTGACTCACACAGTACTCCTCGTAGGCTTAGCAAAGCAACTGAGATGCCTCTGTAAACATTTTGTAAATTTTGTAGCTATCACACACACGCGTTGCCTGTTAAGCTCTTTCATTATCCCTTTGGCACTAGTTCGGGAACAGCTTGCGCACGTGCTCACTTCAGCGACTGTAGCTCCCCAACCAACAGTCGAACCTGCTGTTTGTCTAGGCAGGTCTCCACAGGCATAAATTATCTGCAGCGCGCTCATTCGGACGGTTGCCGCGATATTTCAGATGATTTGTTTCCTTTTGTATGCCCCACCTACATCTCAATACGGATACCATGGTGAGTCTAACAAAAGCCGCTTTGAACTATATATTTAGGTATATGTTCTCAACAGCTTACCTTTCACGGAATTTATGAAACAGTGCAGCAATGGTCAATTGGTCTAACTGCATCTAACATTGCTGATAAGAGGGAAGGCGCGGATCCTTGAATACTGAATACTGGTTCGAAGCAGCGAGTAGAGCTTTCTCCGTGTAGCTGCATCATTCGTCGCTCGTAGACATATACTCCTTATTTCTCTTTCCGCTCTCTATATTTTGCCTCTGCAAAGTGTTTGTCTAGTGGCTTCTTAAATTCGGCCACTGAATTCGCCTCCACTACCTGCTGCTGCAAGTCGTTCCAGACATTCACCACTCTGCGTTCCAAACAGAGTTGGTGAGCTACCCGCTTCAAATCCGGTACGACAAGCTAATACCGGTGTCCTTGCGTGCAGCTTGGTGTGCGCAGATGAAGCAGTTGTCTCAACATGATGGAATCACTCAGATGTAATATCCGGTGCGTCATGATGAGGTCAACGCTCAGCCGACGATATGCTAGGGTGTACAGCCCTAGTTTCTTACATCGGTCTTCATATGGTATACCTCGTAATTTGGGAATCAGCCTGGTGGCTACATGCCGCACCCGCTCAAGCTTTTCTACCTCGCCCAAGGTGATGGAACAATAAGCGAGAGAGCCGTTCTCTAGAATTGGTCGTATTATCGAAACGAAGAGGCGAGTAGCAATCTCTTCGGACCAAGTGCTGAAGCTGCGCCTGAGGGCCCAAAGCATCCGAAGGCTATTTTGGTACAGCCTATATATGTTGTCAATGGACTTTAGGTAGCAGAGTGAGAGCACACCGAGGTCGCGCACCAAAGGTGCGGGATGCAACGGTTAAACATCAACTGTGTAGGTTCGGTTGTGCTCAACTTACCTAACCTCATGAATTTCGACTTGGCAGGGTTGATCGGAATGTTGACCTCCGCAGACCACGACGAGAGGCGGTCGAGGGCCTGCTGAAGTAAATCACAATCGTTGTGTGTGGGATTACTCACCACACCTTCAAGTCATCTGCGAACAAAGCACTTGGTGATTGGAGTAGCTGGATCAGAACAAAATCGACCCCAGTACAATGCCTTGGGGCATGCCGCTGCCTGATGGATACAAGTCTGTTAGATGGTTGTCCACCTGGATCCTCCACTTTCGATCAACAAGGAAATTTCTGATCAGTTTGCGCAGCAAACTACCAACACCACACATCCTCAGCCTGTCAAAGAGCACTGCATGGTTAAGCTCGTCAAAAGCCTTACTGCAGTCAATGTGAATGACATCGACCGATTGGCCTTGGTTCAGCGTTTTTAACCATTTGTGGCTCGTCAACAATAGGTTGGTGTTGCACGAGCGACCTTTCATGAAATCATGCTGTGTGGAGGTCAACAGGCTTTTCGACTCGAGAAGCTGCAGAAGGCGCTTCTTTACGATCTTCTTGAGCGTCTTTGCCTAAACAGCAGTCAGGCAGATCGGCCGGTAGTTATCCACTTTGCTTGGGTCACCACCTTTCGGTATGGGTTTTACGACTGAGCATTTCCAGTCGTCCGGTAACAGTCCAGTGGACAGTGACCTGTTGAGCAGTTCAGTTACAGAAGGCGCAATGATGGCCGATAGGGACTTGAGGATTAGTGGGTGTATACCATCTGGCCCAGCAGGCTTCTTCCCGTCAAGATTTGCTGGAAGCTTGCGTACATCCTCAAAATTGCAGTGCAGGCTGCTAAGTTCGGCTGGAGCGGTACTCGTCGAATTCGTTACAGACATCTGGTCACTTGCAAATACTGAGGCGAAGTGCGCCACTAATGCGGACGCACGACCTGTACTCGAGGTTAGGGGTTGCCATTCTGAGTCTTCTAACACTAGGACATTGGCTACAGTTCTTAAACGCTGCTTCAAGTATGCGAAGATCCGCTTAGGAGCAGTTTTTGCGGTGGTTGTAAACTCCTCTTCGAAGATTCTGCGTTTTCTTGTTTTCGCGTTGTTGCAGCGATTTCGCTGTACCTTGTACGCATTGTAGTTTTCATCAGCGCCAGAGAACACGATTTTTTTCCATAATCTGCGTTGTCGTCTGTCCAGTTTTTTTGTACTCTTTGTCAAACCAGTGTGGTTTCACTGACTCAACTTTCTGAAAGGTAAGGGGTACAAATCAGGTGCACAACGATTTCACTCCCTCTTTATTGATAATCCAGTAGGTTTCAATAGATGAATCCTGTGGTAAAGACCAGTCTAGCTGGCAATTAAAGTCTGCCTTCCAATAGTTGAAGGCTGGCTCCAGTGGGGGAAAATACGGCAGTGGTCATTCCAAGCTGTCTATGATTATCGAGTGGTCGCCCGCTCCCAGAGGCTCTAAGACTTGAGTGTTATGCATACGCTACTCACAGCTAGTCAAAAGCGGGTAAAAGCATGATGGAGTCGCGCTCGCAGTAATGCGTATCCGTTGGTTGATATGATGTGTGGCCTCGGTTTCAAATAGCAACTCCGTAAACTTCCCCTCGACTTCACAGTGGAAGAGGAGAAGGTTATCTTCAGTCCACTGTATTCGGGGCTAGTTGAAATCGCCCAACAGTAGGAACATCTGAAGACTCATATGGTTGCGGACATGCGGCAACCAGTCCAAACAGCAGCTCAGTAGACTGCGATATACCGCACCCACGAGCAACTTGCAGCGTCTGAAGTGAATCGAACACCATACCTGCTCAAATAGACCATCAGCGCTTTGTTAGGCGCTTACTAGTCTACCACACAAGGAAGAATTTATGTAAAGTAGAACGCCACCGCAATCATTTTATGGTCTATCACAGTGGAAGCATGAGTAGCCGGTGATTTCCAATTCTTGGTCGGTTACCTTGGAGTTTAAACATGTCTCAGCAAGACCTAATACATCTGGTCGCTAAGAACTTACAACTCGTACAGCACATCGCGCTTGTTCATCAGACTGCATAGTTTAGTAACGGCTACCCGCAGACCGCGTTAGGAACCGCTGGGAGCGTCTGAAGCATTAGAAACTAGTTGATCCGGATTCGTGGAGGAATCCGGGCAACTACCCGAAAATTTACAATACGGAGATTTGGTTCTCCATCATCCATGCATCGCTTCAGTTCAATCATAGCACACTTGAGTTTCTCTCTGTATTCCGGGTCTAAGTCAGCGCGCACGTGGAGCTTTTGTCTCTTCAGCCTATGAAGACGGGACAGTGGTAACTTGGGACACGCTTCTTCGAGAAAACTCACCCTCATAGGCCGACTTTTGCCCTCCATTCTCTATCCTAGACAGGCGATATTTGCACTTTGAACCCGCCCTCATTTACATCGAGTAGTCTAAAATAAATAATTGTAAAACCTCGACGTCATGTTCATAGCGCAACTGAGGATTGGAATCACTTGATGCAGGTGGGCGAAAGATCATGAGGATACGACGCCTCAGGTCGTTAGATATTGCTCTTGGTTTCTTCGGTGTTTGCACTTTCCATTCGTTATCCTCAATGCGCTTATTGCAAATTGGAGCTTTACTGTCAACCGAACGCATTGCAGGCCTTGACGGAGAGCCTGACGGAACTTTAGTAGCTTGCTTTCAGGATGGATGCGATGTATTAGGCGCTGGATGCTTCCCTGAATGTGGTGTAGCACAAGGCGAGCTGGCCATATTTGAGCACTTCGTTGTACTGGTTTGCTTGTTATACGTGTTGATTCTACTCTGCACAAGTTTAGCTTGGCACTGTTTACAAAATGTCTTTAAAAATTCACTCTGAATGCCCTGAATTACACGAAATCTGTCTACAGTAAGACCACAGCACAAGATATGAACCTTTACATGGCAGAGACAGCATGTATTCGCGTTCGTTTGATGTCCAAAGACTTTGAGGCAAAGGTGACTGTTCCCTGATCGTACGACATACTGTATACACCAATATGAACGCGTCCGCAATTCAGCCACGACAGAAACCCATAGGATAAATTAACTAGTGTTCAAACTAAGATATTTAACTTTTAAGCAATCGATTCGATATTAGTGCACATACCGCAACCTAGGTTTCTAACAGACGTCCAACAACCATTCTTGCGGGATGAAGTATGTATGCGGTTTAACAAATTGTTCAGTTTATACATTATCCACTTAATTTTAGGCAGGCATTCGCTACACATGTTCAGGATGCTAAGAATGAACCCGTGAGCAGCAAAGGCAGTTGCGCCGTATTCAGTAATGATAAGAATCTTTGAACACATATTAATGTTTGAAGTTACGCTTGAATACGCATATCGTCTATATTTTTATCGTTCTTATATAAAAGACGATATTCCCTCCGCTACTATCTGTGGCAATATTCTAGTAAGACATCTATCGTTTCATATCATAATCATAAATAAATCACAATGCAGTAATTAACCTAGCCGAAAAGAGTTAATATTTAGCTATCAATGCGTCTAGGAAATTAGGAATTCCGTTGGATCACGGTGCAGTCGTGCTAACTGGAAGTAAGAATAGCCCAGGAAGGAACACGGTTGACATGTACCATTTAACGTCATCTGACCATTAAAATAAACTAATGTACATTCCTGTAATCGTGAATGCCTAGTTCTGGTGTCAGCAATTTACATCCCCAGAAATATTTATATAACTACCTAGGGCAAACGGTATTTTTCTCTTTGCGAAAACAAAGGTCAATACTATGACGGGACTATGATTGCCAGTGACTCTTTTGCTGGTCTAAACTACTGACAGCCCCACAAGTGCTCTACACAAGCGGATACTCTATGCAATCCATTTTGTGGGTGAAAATGGGGTCATGGTGGGAAAGACAGCGATCATGTTTAATTTTACCACGGTGTAATCATCCCTAAGCTTATAAAACTTGAAAACAGGAACCTAGTCTACCAGCTATTGGAACAGCATACTTGCAGAAGAAAAACTACTTATGTAAAGTTAACGCAGGTTTACGATGTGGTGAATTAGACATGATAAACTACTTGCATTCGGGTACATGCTGTTGAAACCTAACTCCCCAGAAGGAAAAGAGAAAGGTGAATAGTAAAATGATTGGTAACATAAATTTGCAACCGTTATATTTTAACTGTTTCAAATGGCAACATTTTTATAGAGTTGCATTTTCTACGGTCACAGAGGATTTTGCGGAATGGTTGAAAAACCTTAAATATAAGGTTCATACGCATCATCAACAGAAGCGTCTGGTTGTCCGTGTGAATTTAATTTGTGTTTAAAATTATTATCTAATGTAATGTGGTCCGGACTAGCTCCAGAAAACATTAGATGGACAAGAAGGAAATCTTGAATAGAACAACATGAAGACGAATGTTGCAAGATGGTTATATTTCGTGACCGCTGTTCACTTGCAAACGGACAACATATCAAATAGTAACGTGACGCAAGCCTACTATGCCGGTCTCCGCCAGGAAGCACTGTATCTGTGCATTCGTTACTAAGTGTGGAAGCATTTGCATAAGCAGAAAAGACCATTGCTTGTGTAAGCGGAACTGGGGTGCACATTACAAGAGTATGGTTATCTTGACAAGACAGCCGAAACCGGGACATTTGCCGACAAACAACATACCTGCCATTTCGATTGTGAAACACCTAATGTAAAAGTGCGATCTAGTGGACACAAACTCGACCTTTAGTCTTATCTATAGTAATACAAACACCGGAGTTCTCAGGTTTACCGAGGCGGTGTCCATAAGAAAGCATTCTCTAACATCGTGCGTCTGCAAGAATCTGTCTGTTACGCTCAAATTCCCTTGGCGGTAATAATTCCTCCTCAACCTATAGCCGACGTCCATTTCGCCTGAATGCAACCTCATATTTTTTAAATTATTGAATCCTTCTTATCACATTATCATTTGATATGTTTCTGTTTGCGAGTGAACAGAAGGCAGGAAATGGTACCAGCTTGCATTATTCACCACCTTACTGTAGTATTCAAGTTAATACGGAGGACTCAATGATATAAAAAAGAAAATCCCCAATCATCGACTAATGCAGATGTGAAACACTTATTCGTTGTCTGCGAATAAAAAGTGCTTACATAAACATTGATTTATACCAAAGCACCAAGCAAATCTTTGCATCACTAGTGCGATGTGAAAGCTTCTTTTTTCTCTGATAAATAGCTATGGTGGTCAAAAATATTCTTTAATGTGGCTTAAATAGACTGCGCAGTTGTAGTGTATCACTCATTAAATTACTCGCGTAGATTTAGGAATTATAATTATTTTATTGTAGCGAACATGAAAAGTACGGATGTAGATGTTAAACTCCTAAAACTATTGCAGTTTATCTTTTGTACCATAGTAATTGTGATCATCTGAGTTTCATATGTGTGTTGTATTATCTAAGTAAAGCATCTGCTCTATGAACACACAGTACAAATGGCTGTTTTGGGCTTTACTGTTTAATATACTCTATGGGAGAGAATATTACCGAGCAAATTCGCAAATACTACTATTGAAATAATTAACTTTATCAGCAATATTATTTATTCTACAATGAGGGCTAAGATATAGCGCAAGTTTCGTTCAAAGCTTTTCAAAATTTCACTCTTTACTGAATTCGACAAGAACAAATTATTTAATTTCGCCTATTCAAATTTCGAAATATACAGACGTATTACTTGATGTATTTTGACAAGCAAAGATATATAACTTAGCTACTTCTTGACATCATAATGAAATCATGTCAAAAATATAGGAAACGGATGTTATAAATCAAACAATGCAATAGTGCTGTTCCGGAAGTAATATCCAATATAGTGCCTACGTATATCTCGTACGTTAGCTGATGATATAGTTTTGTCTAATGTTGTGGTATCATCAAAACAAAGTAAATCAATGAAGTTACTTACATATTTCATCCAGTGTAGGGGCTCCGGTGTACGAATAATTTTTAGCTGTAAGTAAAGACAGTAATTATATTTGACTTACTTTTCGCAGCACACCACATTCAAATATGAGTAGAAGAATGTAAACTAGTTTTTCAGTGAGTTAGTTTTGAAAATTTTAAAGCAAATTGCAAAAAAATAAACTTGATCGTTTAACCAAAGTGTAGCAGCCTATCAATCATAATCAAAACCAATTCAATACATTGCGCATATTCTATACTGTGGTATAAATACATAGCTATGTTGTTGTCACGAAAAAAGAGGAAATTGCTCTAAGCGTGCCTCTCAAGCTGTGCCTGGATCGGTTAGGTGATTTTATATATATATGACCGTTATACATACGACAGTACATCATCTTCATCACAGCAAAGTAAAAAGTAATAAACCTTCAGGAAAGCAAAACAGTTTGCTGCCCAAAATAATAAACGAATCAAAGACCCTCTCTTCAGTAATAACTGTCAGTGATTAAAATATGATTAGCTGATTTCGAAATAATTCTCACAGCAAGTAGTACCATTTGTCACTAAAGCACATGCTAGAATAAGCTCTTATAATCTAGAAAACATAAGTTTACTATTCATTCGCCTTATGCCTGTTTTATGAGAAGATTACGGGAACACGACAATGGGTCATATTACTGGTCCTATACAAAACGTGCAAGACTTACCACAGTCAACCGAAATAATATGAACAATAGCCACATGTTGTAGAAGCACAAATACTGCGCTCATTAGAGTCACCATTTCTACACTAGCTGGAAGTGAATTAATTCTCTTATATTGGTATGATGGCAAACTCACTGCTCTTGCATCGTGCTTGGTCATTTGAGAGGTTCATTTTTATAACACATATGCTGCCAAAAATGGACCGAGCTGATGTGCTATTGTGCAGTTTCACCACAAGAAAGTAACATGTCATGTTCTCAAACATTTGACGCTTTTCAAGATGCTGCATGAGGAACCCAAGGAAGCTGAAAAGATCACATTACAATTGCGCAGCGCTTCTTGCAATCCAACGCTGCAGTTTTAGTCAAACCTTGATTTTGCCAGGCGCCGCAAAATAACCAGTGTTTAGTGACATACACATAGGCCGAGTTAAACGCAAACAGATTAAAATTACTTATGATGCATGGTGGGTCAACGGATATCTTGAAATACGTATGGAACCAGATCCGGAGGACATTATATACGGAATAATTAACAAATGCATTTGTTACGTGACGTTTCTAGCCAAACATAAGTTGTTTTCCTGAGGGATACTTTTTGTCAAAAGCGAAACAATACCTAACAATTGCCTTTGCCGATTACTCATAACGTGTTCTGATAAAAGTCACTAACTTGATATATCCTGTATGAATCATTGAAGTACGTTAAAAATTTGATAAGTGTAGATCGATGTATGCAGGTTTACTTCTGCAGCGAAATTTCAAATGTTAACACCCCCAATTAAACACTGATCATTAAATGTTTAACGTTCATTAAAAAATACGAACACAGGTCCAAGCAAAAGTCGCTTCCATGCATAATAAGACAACAAAAGCACCATCAAAGTTATAATGAAGTTGAGCACATAGAGCACAACTCATTGAAAGTTTGTTACAGGGATTTTAATAATTTAATTTATAACCTCAAATTACCTCATTATGATTGCTCACACACAAATGTGCGTCAAATGTTTTTGGTACTTAAGTTAGTTTCCATGCGGCTATCAATTTCTGCATGGTTATTTGCGGCATAATCATTACGTTAATTTCATAAAACACAAACGCTTAGCTACAACATATTTATAACCGGATATGTTATATTTATGTTAGGCAACCGATGCGTAAACTGATCCTTAGTTTAATATCCTCATCTGTAAATAAATTGATCGAAATACTTGGTTTCGTAGGAAGTTTGAACTATGCACCAAAACATTTAAAAAAGAATGTACTTAATTAAATCCTTTGCTATAATTAACTCCATTTTTCTACAAATATATTACCAGAAGGAAGTCGCAGCCGAAACATTGATTCAGCATTTATCCACGCTTTTAATATTTTGGCATTCTAAACGAAAGAAATATTCGGAGATGCAAGAGATCATTGTAGCCTAAATCAGTGTAAATCAATTTGTTCTCTTGTTCCTACTTAATAGTTTACATTGGTCTAATTTGCAAGCTTCCATGTGACTGTATGAGGGAAAACAATCCGACCGGACAACTTACATTATGTTGAAAATCAATCCACTTCCTTATGGCCAAAAATATCCGTAGCATCGTAAACACTAAGTTGGCTATGTCGCTTAAGATCATTTACCAGAAACTTGAGAGCAAATCGAAATGCGCCTTTAGCCAATTATTTATTTCCCAGAGTCACCCACTAACCGAAATTGCGAGGCGAAGTTCTGCCTTCGGAGCAAACTTACACAAATTTTGGGCTTACCACCTTTCAAGCGGACTGTTTGGCCCAAATAATAAGTTGCGCCATAAAGATTTGAGCTAACCACAGTGACTATCTGATGAGTTCTAATCGACTATTGACTACCTGTAGTTTTCTGAATTTTGCGCTGAATTCAGCAGCCTGTATACAAGACTGAAGAGAAATTTTAGACAGCAACTTTTGCTTGCAATGTCATTTATTAATGTACCTAGAGATTGCACTTATGTAAAGCACGGTAATTGGGCACCAATTGTACAACCGCTATCGAATTACTTAAATAATTGAATAAAACTTATCCATGCTGTAACCTTGATGTCTTCCCAGATATGGGTCAGCTTTTATCTGGTAACGTTTTGGTCACGATTCTTGGTAACTTAGCATAGTAACAACTGCTTTCGCTTGCTTTATGGAGTAAGCATATATTAGCGAGGTTTCGTTATTTCATTATATAACTCCATTATGAACGGAAATAGCTCACGTGGTAAAACAATGAACAATTAAATTATACCGGCTGTATCTCCCATTGGGTGATTTTGCAAGGTTATCAAATAATAAAGAGCAGTGTGTTATTTACGTCGAAAAGAAGGTCTAATCGTTTGTTTCGCTGCGTTCCTCTTATCCTTGTGCAATCACAACACAAATATGAGCTGCAAATAAATGCAAAGCATATTCGTGCATTCAAATCAACTTGCGGTACTAGGTAACAAGATGTACCTGAGAAAGTGAGCCACCCAAACATCTGTTAAATATGGATATTTATGGTACAGAAGTGACCGAATCCGGAAGAGAATTCTACGAGTGATATACGCAGACGGCAAATAAATCCCTGCATCATTTCAGCAGCTTTACTGTCCTGCAAGTTTTAGTAAGTGAACTCTCAGTTTTGTATTACTGCTGAGTTGGAGTCAAGTGCGGCACACATGGATTGGATCGTACAGATGTAAGTTTTTAGTGCCAACACTCAGGGATTTGTACTTGAGTAGGATAGTCAGATTCTGCGATAGGGTTTCCGCGATAAAGTAAATGTGTGCGAGTCAGTGGACAGGCGATAAATGCTGGAGAATATGCAAATAATTATACCCAATAGATGGTTACAACATATTGCATCCGCAGTGCGTTTGCTACTTTCGCATCCCGTTGGTTTTGGGCACTCAGCCGTTTTAAATGAGGAACGCTTTGTATCACTTTCAGTAGAATATTATAGTGCTTGTACAGAAGTTTGTGACTGGCGACGTAGGGTTTTGCAATGTTCTGCTAATGTGCGGCCTTGCCCTCTCTGAGCAGTTAGATACAGGGGTTACGCTAAGCTACGAAAATATCCAAGCTTTCTTGTGCTGGGAATAACATGTACTCGCTCTAAGTTACGTTGCGTACTACCAACAATTTTTGAGTTTTGCTGATTATGTAAGTCTTGTTCAGACCTGTTGCAAACTATGGTCTTCAAAGCATCCATAACGAGCTAAAAACATTTATTTACGAACCCGAGCCGGGCGAATTTCGGGGATTATCGGCGAGGAACCACGTAGTTTTACCACTGACGATTCGGGCTAATCTGTCGTAGCATAGATGGTTCGTACCGTAAAATGGTCCGCAACTCGGTATTCTGCAAGGCAGATAAAGTTACAAATAATTGATGAAAAAACATTGCGACCTAACGAGTAGTCTACAACCAACACATCATTCATATTCTTCGTTGGTTAGTACAGCATCAATCGCACATGGCCTACAGTCTCTTTTGAAAACAGTGGGAGAAATCACATGAGTATAAAGCGGCACACTCGTTACAGGCCCTTGCAGATCGGTTTTAAGTAGTTATATGCTTATGGCAGGAGTTTCTATATAACGCATAATGAAATCACCCATAATCAATATGGCAGCGTATCTTCTCATTATTGTTCGAGTTTTGGCATTCAGATTTGGTAATCCGTTTCAGATGTGGAGTTTAGGGGGACGGAACACCAATGCTATAAGGTGTCTCTGCCTCAAAACTACAAGCAGCACCAACGCGAATCAGGAATCAGCGAATCTGAATCTTCCATGACCTCGCAATTTAAGTCACGAGGGTAATACAAATTTAAGCCAGTTCCTTTTTTCAGTCGGTTATTCCGAATGAGTGACATGCCAGGTAGAGAAATATTCGTCTCCATCACTTAAGTGTGCGACCACGACTCCGTGATTCGAGTACGTAAAATTTCCTCGAATAATGACGATCTTTCAGTTAGGCCAGCTAATTTGATGATGCCCTGAGCTTTCGTGTAAAGGCGCGCTAGTTTAATGGTAACTAGTAAGTCATAAGAGTTCAATGAATTCAGATATGTGAGAGTGCCGACCGATGTGCTGTCGGCCATTATTCGTTTTCCTTGGCAGATAATAATAATAAGTCCGCAACTTGCACTGACCAAGGCGCGTCCCCACGATTAGCTAGATCTGCCTCAGAATCTGGTAAAGGAGCAACAATGTAGACAGCACTGCAGGTACAATCAATTTTAGCATTAATTCATTAAGCACAAAATAACAACTCAATGATGTGTGGCATTTTCTATGCTTCCGTATCCTTACACCCTTAGGTCCGTTCATTTAGCTTTGCGATTAAACGACGGTACCTTAAGCCTGTTGCGAAAATGGTCATAGTGCGATTCCATACACTATATTTTAAAGCGCCATAGTTTGGTACCCTCATGATCACAAATCTACCGGACTGTCGAATCCAGGAATCTGAGGAAAGATAAAGGTAACGGAAGAGAGGATGGCTAGGATTTAGGTATAAATTGAAAGTCACGGAAACCGCCATTCCTCGGCCATTGTGAAGTCGAGAGGTAGTTCGCTTATAGAATGCATGCAATTAGGGCTACACCGTATATGATCCAGCTGACACGATACCTCGTGTTCAACTTGTTATCCACCAGACAGGAGCAACAAATACATAAGATGCAGCTCCTGCAACTCCTGTGTGCAAGTGACCACTCAATAAGCATAGTAGGCATGGGGCTGTCGCTGCTCCGCCAGAAACAGCCCACCACTACTGGAAGTATGACATCAGTGATCTCAAACGGGCCACATTGACAGGCAGATACCAAAGAAGTCCTATATTGAATACATTTGGGCTATCATTAAATATAGATTGAAATGTTGGACGCGCCATTTGTACTCCGCACGTTCCAGAAATTTAGACACCTTAAACTACGTTGGTTCGACAATAGGTGTCTTACAATTGCTAGGTGGCGAGGCAGGCTATGCAATAAATCCGTGTTTTCCGTCTCATTTGAAGAATTGGTGGTATACAAGGGATAGTATTTTCACAGTAAAAAATGG